GATGGGATGGGATGGGATGGGATGGGATGGGATGGGATGGGATGGGGATGGGGATGGGGATGGGATGGCCACTGCAGTCAGCTCCTCTCACACTGTGCAGCCGGAAGGGATGGGACACAGCCAAGCAGTGGACACAGAGCTGTGCTCACACTGCAGAACTCTTGGCCAGAGCTGTGCAATGCCAGCAAAGCTGCTGCAATCCAGTGTGGGAGCACCAGGAGCGGGGCTGCCACCCGCCCTGCACAGCCCCAACCCTGTCCCCAGGCTGGCCACACACCCGCTCTGACGGGACATTTCCGTCCATTCTCCATGAAATCATTTCCTCCTTTTTATTTGTTTTTTGGAAGCACCCCTTGAGAACAGCCCCAGCAGCCATGCGCTGCTCTCGCGGTGGGAAATGGCTGTTCCCAACCATGGGGACCCAAACACTGGATCCGCAACCATGGACCATGGGTACCCCTGGCCATAGGGACACCCCTAACCATGGGTACCCTCAATCATGGGGAATTCCAACCATGGGGATCTCTGACCATGGAGACCCCCAACTATAGGAACCCATGACTGTGGAGACCCCTGACCATGGGGACCCCCTTGACTAGAGGGAACTCCAACCACAAAGAAACTCCAACTATGGGGGCTTCTGACCATTGGGACCCCTGACCATGGGGATGTCCAACCATGGGGAACTCCAGCCATGGAGACCTCCAACTGTTAGGCCCAAAATCATAGGGATCCCCCCGACCATGGGGAAACTCCATCCATGGGAATCCCTGACCATTGGACCCCCAACCATGGGGATCGCTGACCATGATGGACCCTCATCCCCATGACTATGGGGACTCCCAACCATGAGGACCCTTACGATGATGACTCCCAATTACTGGGTCCCAACCATGGAGACCCCTGACCAGGTGGACTCCCAACTATGAGGACCCCGACAATGGGCAACACCCCTGACCATGGAGACCCCCAAACCACAGGGGACTCCAACCACAGAGACCACCAATCACTGCACTCCAAACCATAGTAACACCCCTGACCTCAATGACCCCCAACCGTGGGGAACTCCAACCATGGGGACCCCTGACCATGGGGAACCCCTCCAACCGTTGGACCCCCCAACCACACAGACTCCTGACTGTGGGGACCCTGACCATGGGGGACACTCCTTACCATGGGGACCCCCAACTGTGAGGAACTCCATGAACGGAGACCTCCAACCGATGGATGCCCAACCATAGAGACTCCCCTGACCACGATGACCCCCAACCGTGGGGACCCCCAACCATGGGGAACTCCAACCAAGGAGACCCCTGACCATGGGGACCCCCGATCACACGGAACCCCTCCAACCTTTGGACCCCCCAACCACACGGACCCCCAGCTACGCGGATGCCGACCATGGGGGACACTGCTGACCACGAAGACCCCCAGTCAAGGAGACTCCCCCATCTTTGAGACCCCCGACCACGTTGTCCCGGCACTCACCCAACTTCTTCAAGACCCCCCCGCTCTGCTCGGGGCGGGGCCGCGCCCTCCGCCCGCAGATCATCGTACGGAGCTCCCGGGGCCGTGCGGGGCCGTGCGGGGGAGGAGCGGGGCGGGACCGGGAGGAGCCGGCATGGAGCCCGGGGGCTGGGTTTGCAGCGGAGATTTTGGATCGGGGGGGCGGGAGGGGGGGGGGGAAGGTGGGTTGCATGCACATACATGTGCGTGTGCGGCCATATGCACGTGTGTGCGTGCACATACATGCGTGTACGTGTGTTTGCATGCACGGCCGTGCAGCCGCACCCCCCCCATCCCGCACCGTCTCGGGGTGAACAAACAGCGCTGCGTGAGCACAGATTCCCCCCCCCCCGCCAGATGACGCACGGGGAAGGAATGTAGGGGCGGCGCGAGGCGGGGGGCGATGCCACAGCGCCTTGTCCCTATAATGTCCCTATAATGTCCCTGTAATGTCCCCATCCCGTGCCCCGTCCTGTTATTCTGCTCTGTCCCCGCGCCCTGTCCCTTTACACCGTCCCCACTCCCTGTCCCCATCCCCATGCTCCGTCCCTTTATTCTGTCCCCATATCCTACCCCATCACACCGTCCCACTCCCTGTCCCCATATCGTCCCTATACTCTGTCCCCACGTCCTATCCCCACTCCCTGTCCCCAAATCCCTGCCTGCACTCCCTGTCCCCATACCGTGTCCCAATACTCTGTCCCCATGCCCTATCCCATCACACTGTCCCCATTCCGTCCCTATACACTGTCCCCACGTCCTATTCCCACTCCCTGTCCCCAATACCGTCCCTATTCCCTGTCCCCAAATCCGTGTCCCCACTTTCTGTCCCTGCACTCGGTCCCCTCCCGCCCCGCCCCACGCGGCCGGCAGGGGGCGCCACAGCGCGCGTTCTCCGCTCTCCCATTGGCTGCAGCGCGCTCCGCCTCCAGCAGGGGGCTCCCGCGCTACGCCGCTATTGGCTCGGAGGAGGCGGGACAGCGCGGCCCGTTTCGCAAGCGGCGCGCCGATTGGGCGCGGCACGGCGGCGCAGACGGAAGCCTCGCGCTGATTGGCCGCGCGCTTTCCCCTCACGGAGAGCCGAGCGGCGGGGCCGGCGGAGCGGGGCCATGGCGGAGCCGGGCTGCGGGGCTCAGTTCCAGGCGGCCGTGCGCGTCATCCAGGGGCTGCCCCGGAGCGGTGAGTGCGGGCGGGAGCGGGGCAGGGGCCGCTGCGGGCCGCGCTGACGACGTTGCGGTGCTCCAGGTTCGTACCGGCCTTCCTACGAGGAGATGCTGCGCTTCTACAGCTACTACAAGCAGGCGACGGCGGGCCGCTGCCAGGAGCCCCGGCCCGGCTTCTGGGACCCCATCGGCCGCTACAAGTGGTACGGAGCGCCGAGCCCCGCATCGGGCGCCGCGGGGTCGGCTCGGCCCCGGCTCAGCGCCGTCCGCCCCGCAGGGACGCGTGGCACAGCCTGGGCCGGATGAGCAGGGAGGAGGCCATGGCTGCGTACGTGGCCGAGATGAAGAAGGTGGCCCAGAAGGTAACGGCGGCCGCGGGGCTCCGGGCGGCGCCGCCCGCCGGGCCGGCCCTCAGCACGGCTCTGCCCGCCGCCGCAGATCATCGCCACGCTGCGCCCGGACGAAACGACGCAGGAGATGTTCCGCTACTTCGAGCCGCTCTACGAGGTGATCCGCGACATGCCGCGGCCCCCGGAGGGCTTCTTCCGACGGCCGGGCGGTGAGTGCGGCTGCGCTGCCGGCTCCGAGCCTCGCCTCCCTGCCGCCGCGTCCCGCCCGCCTGGCGCTGCCCTCCAGCCTCCTCTCGGCTCGAAGGAGAAGAGCTGAGCTTGGCTTCCGAGCGCCCCGCGCGCAGCCCTACATGGCCGTGGCAGTCGGGCTCTGCCCCTCCCGCAAGGCACGGCGCCAGGCTGCGCTCACCTGATGTAAACACGGGGCTGGGAAGGGGCTGTGGGGGTGGGGAGGTGCTGGGGCGGCCTTGTGCGGGAAAAAAAGCCGTGCGTGAGGCTGCTGGGTGCTGTCTCCATTCGCTCTGCAGCAGGTGAGCTTTGGGCTGTGTTGGCAGCAGGTGTAAACTGGCAGCGTAACGCTGATGTTAGAAGAGCTCTGACAGACAGACTCGCTGCCCCCTCTGTCCCCCCGCATCCACAAAGACACCCAAAACTTGTTGGTAGGGTGTGTTCCTGCATGGCTTGGCCTCACAATGGCTGCTTCCCGGCAGGTGCTTTTGTTCTTTTTACTGAATAGCACATAAATATTCTCTGTTTTTCTCTGTGACGTGGAAGCCGGCTCTAAACTCCCCATCCTTACCCACTTGTGGGTGTCCTCCTGCACTGCTGTCACTCAGACAGTCTCATTGAAATCCAAACCTCACACTGCCTGCGAGGCCGATAAACACCGGGTGCCTGAAATGTGGTTTAAAACCAACTTCTTAAGCTGTTGAGTTATTTGTGCTAAAGGTTCTTAGGCTCACCATGAGCCTTTTTCTTGTTGTTGTTGTTGCAGCTGTTGTTAATGATAATCCAGGTGAGGCGATTTTGGAGGCTGTGCTGGGTGGGTGGGTTGGTGCTGGTGGTGCCATGTCAAGGTGCAGGGCAGCATTGCCACATTGCTGCCTGCCCAGGAGCGGGGAGCAAAGTCCTGCCTGTTAGAAATGCTGCATGGCTGCGCTTCACCCCGTGGGGGCGTGGGGTGCCCCACATCCACACAGAGGGCGGGCAGCCCCGCAAAGAGATCCGCAGCACTTTAACTCTGCTCCCTTTCTCTCCCTGCAGATGAGCAGGAGCAGCCAGCCGAGCACGGCCAGGAGGAGCGAGTGAACGGCCCAGCCCCGGAGCGGCTGGAGGATGCACTGCCCAGGGAGCAGCAGGACGGGCAGCGGACGCCAGGTTGGTCTCCCCGGAGTGGCCAACAGCCGGCAGAGACCCCATGGAGGAGGCAGTGGCGATGGGGCCGGGCCGGGCCTCCGTCCCAACGCAGAGCTGTTGGCTTCAGGCACGTCTGGTCCAACCCCGACTGCGTGTCATGCAGGGCCGGGGCTTCTTGTGGGGCAGCTGCTGACCCCTGGCATAACCCTGAGCGTGTTGGGCAACTGTGTTGCTCGTGGCTGTGTGCGGAGGCCTAATTGTGAGGACAGAGCAAGGCACAGATGGGCAGAGCGCCCTGGGAGGTGTGTGTTCCATAGTGGAAGTACCCTCGGCTCCAGTCGGGCGTGCCCAGCCCACGGGGCAGGAGCCGCCGTGCTGAGCCCCGGCCCTGGGTCGCGCGGCCCCTGGCACACGCAGTGCTGGGGGAGCAGACTTGGGTGTGCCGGCACGGAGCGGCCCCTGCTGTCAGCTGTGTGCTGCGGGGCAGCCGGGCTGCCCGCCCACCAGCAGCACGTGTGGTCACGGAGCAGCGCCGGTCTGCGCCCGGCCTGTGCCTGAGGGAGCCGAGCGGGGTGCGCAGTGAGGGCTCTGTCCAGTGGGACGCGTGGGGCGGGAGCTGCCGGTCCCTGCGGGCCGTGCTGTGGTCCCTGCGGGCCGTGCTGTGGTCCCTGCGGGCCGTGCTGTGGTCCCTGCGGGCCGTGCTGTGGTCCCTGCGGGCCGTGCTGTGGTCCCTGCGGGCCGTGCTGTGGTCCCTGCGGGATGCAGCCCTGTTCCCGCAGAGCTCTGTGCCGGCTCGTGAGCCGGGCCCTGGTGCATCGGGACGCGGTCCCTGCATTTATAGCCACGATGAATCTGCCCCCTGTGCCGCAGCATCCTTCCCGTGGTGCGAGCGACGCTTTGTGGCCCTGAGTGGCAGGAATGAGTGCTTCTCCTCCCACTGAGGAATTCAGGCCTTGCTTTGCACACACCTCTGCTTCTTGCTGCCCGCAGCCCTGCTGGCCGTGCCGAGCTTTCACCCCACGCGCACAGCGGCTCCGCAGCCGCCTCCCATCACGCCGGGCTGCCTGTGCTTCCTTGCAGGAGCAAGGCCGGCTCCTGCTGCCGACACGCACCAGGGCAGCCAGGGCACCAGCGACTCTGAGGGGGAAGTGTTCTGCGATACCATGGAGCAGATGGAGCCTGAGCAGGTAATGGCCCCCGGGGCAGGACGGCCCGGAGGCGTGCTGGGTCCCGGCAGCCCCCCTGCTTACAGGCGCTGCTGCACCGCCGTCAGCTCCTCACCGCTTTCCTGGGAGCGCTGCGAGACCCCCGAGCTCCCGCGCTGCGGGGCTGCAGCAGGGCTGGGGGGGAGGAGGGCGCACGGCAGGAGCTGCTGCGGCTCAGCCCTGGCCTTGCGGGCTGGCGGTGGGGCCCGGGGGTCTCAGGGTCGTTCTTCGCCCTCACGCAGGCTGGGCAGCTGCTGGCTGAGCGGGGGCTGGTCCCAAAGAGTGCCCCGGCCGGGCGCGTGGCTGGGCGGGCAGAGCGGGGTGAAGGCAGAAGACGGGAGGGGAGCGGCGGTGCCGACCTCGCGGCCCGGGGCTCTGACAGAGGTGGGTGCAGCCCGGCTCCCGCTGCTCCCCGCCCGCCTGGGATGCTTGGGGTGAGGCTGTGAGCACCGATGGTCGGCAGCCGCGAATCCCCGCATCCGCCCTCTTCACGCCTTGGTTCCCGAACGGCTCGGTGCTTCCCCTCCGGGTCGGATCCCCTTTATTGTCCCGCGGTGTCAGGGCTGTGCTGAATGCTGTGCATCCTTCAGCTGCAGCGCGGTGCGGCCCTGCCGGCAGCGCCTGCTCGGTGCCCTTGGATACAGGGCAGCCGGGAGCTCTCCGCGGGGCCGGCCTCGGGGGCACCCTGGAGGTGCTGACACAGGGGACAGAACCGCCGCAGCCATCCTGGCGGTCCCCAGCAGGGATGCGGTGAGGAACGGCTCCGGTAGCTGCAACCATCCTGCCAGACATTGGGGTTCTGCCACCCTCCCCAGCCCGCGACGCGCTCAGCTCCCCACTGATGTTTGCAAACCTCCGGGGCTGCTTGACCTTGGGAGTTAACTTGTAACGAGGCCGATCAAGGCGGGCGCGGGGGGCCGAGGAGCGGCCGTGCTGTTGCAGCACCTGCCGGTCTGCTGGCCGCCGGGCTTATCGGGAGGCGGCAAGGCAGGTTTAGGGCTGAGGAGCGGAGATCCTTCGTCCAGCAGCGCTGGGACAGAGAGCCCCTCTGCTGCCAGCGGCGTGCCGTCTGTGTGCCGCGCAGCCCGCTCTGCCTCGTGTCTGAGCGTCACCTCCCTTTGCTCCCGCAGATCCGCAGCTCACCGGGGCAGAGGAGGACGCGGGGAGCCCCGCCGAGCCCACTGCCGTGGAGCTGCAGCCGGAGCTGGACGCCCACGTGGCCGGCACCGTGCGGGCCCTGCAGGACGACATGCAGCGCGTGCTGGAGCGGCTGAACGAGCTGGAGCTGCTCACCTCCGCGAAGGTACGTGGCACCGCTCCCACGGGCGGGCGGCTCGGGGTGGGCCGGGGGCGGAGTGGGGACAGACCGCGGTGGTGCCGAATCGTGGCAAGGTGGGGCCGCCCTCGAATCCGCCCCAGGGCCGAGCGGGGGGGGCTGCCCCCGTGATTCCCATTGCCCCGGGTCCCGATGACGGGGAAGCGGTGGCCAAAACCCCTCCTGTGTTGCAGGACGCACCTGGGGCCGATCCCGGAGAGCTGCTCGCTGTGCAGGTGAGTGGGGTGGGAGGCAGCGCTGCGCAGTCCCTGCCGGCCTGTGCTCGACGTCCGGGCGGCTCTGTGACCTCGGCTGTGCTGCTGGGGGCGGTGACCGGGCTGGGGAGGGGTCCTTCAGCAGGAGAGCAGGAGGTGGCCGTGGGGCAGGCAGCAGGGACAGGTGTGAGGAACGCGTCCCCCTGCAATTCTGTCCCCGTGCCCCGTCCCTGACAGCGGCGGAGCGATGCGGTGAGACCCCAGCAGGACGATGGGCGCAAAAGGGACGGCAGCGCTCGGGGCGTTGGGTGCCGCCCCGCTCTCCCACACCTCTCTGTCCCTCTCCAGGTGGAGTCCCCGTGGCCGCTACCCGCGTCCCCGCACACCCTGCTGTTCCTCGTGGCCTGGCCCTTCGTCACCCAGTGGCTGCTGCGGCGCTGGCGGGGCAGGAAGAGGTGACGCGTCCACGTCGCGGCCTCCCGGCGCCCCGCGCAGCAGCCACCGTTCCCGGTTCTGCTTCTCCCGCTCCGCCGCCAGCTCGGGGCGGAGCAGCCGCGGGGTCCCGGGTGCCGCTCGGGGCGGGGAGACCCGCGGGGGCACAGACGGCAGCGGGGTCAGGGCGCTGCCAGGCGGGACTCAGCCCGGCTCCCCCCCCCCCGATTAAAGTTGCCTTTTCAGTGCGGTTCTGGCTGTGTGCGCTGCCCTGCTGTGTGTGGGGGGGAGACACCGTGGGGATACCGGGATACCCCACCGCGCCGTCCCTTTGCCACCCGGCGATGCCGTCCCTGCGGGCGCCGAACGACACCGGGGCGCTGCGGGCCGCACAACCCGTACGGGGCCGGGCCCGGTGCCGGCCGGCCCCCCCGGTTCGGTTCGGTTCCCCCGCACGTGACACCGTCGTAGCGCGATGCCATCGGTTGCAGCGAGATCCCACCGCATCCGGCGCCACCTCTTGAGGGGCGCGAGGCAGCAGCCCGCGCACCACCGGCGGCTCTCCGCCCCGGGGCGCCTACTGCCCGCCCCTCGCACTCCAGGAGCTCCTGCTCCCACCCCCCAGCACTACCCACGAAAAAAGGGACGCGGCGCCTTTAAGATGGGACTCGTTCCGCTCAGGTTTGTTTACATCTCCCTCCGCGCGGCCTCAACCTCTTCACAGCGCGGCGGTCCCGTGATTCCTCCGCCCGAACCCCCCTTCTGTCTCCCTTTGCCCCCCGGCTCTGTTCCTTCACTCCCCCCCGCTCTCGCTGCGAGCTCCATGGAACGGTCCCGGGGGGGCGAGACTGAAGCACCGCTCGGTGCCCCTCCGCGCGGCGCGGACTCTTTTGGGTCGTACCAGGGAGGGGCGGGGGGGGCGGAGCGCTGCCCTCATAGCGGCGCTGAAGGTCGCAGAGCCGCGCGCCTGGAGCCCCCCCTCCGCGAGCGGTACGGTCCTGACCCGCCCCCTCTCTGCTATTGGCCCAAGTGCGCGATCGACGTTCCGCTTCGCCAATCGGCACTCGGCCGACCGAACGGTGAGGGGGCGTGTCTAAGCGATACGCTCCTCCCCTCGCGCACACTGATTGGTTGCGGGGCGGGGCACGCAGCGCGCCTGCGCGGGATGCGCGCAGCTATATAAGGCGGCGGAGCGGGTGGGGAGCGGCAGTCGGGAGGCGGCGGCGGGTGGTGGCGGTGGCGGCGCGGGGGGGCGGGGCGGGTGCGGCGCGGAGGGAGGAGGAGGAGAAGAAGGAGGCGGCGGCGCGTGCCATGCGCGCGGGGGGGCGGGCCCGGCGGCGTTAACCCCTGTGCGGCCGTGACCCCGCGGCCCGGGGGGACGGGACCGATGTAGCGGCCGTCCGCGAGGGAGCGGAGCGCGCAGCCATGGCCGACGCCGAGCGCGCCCCGGAGGCGGCGCCCGCGGACCCCGAACGGGGCGAAGCGCAGACGGACGGGGAGAGTGGGCGGCTGCCGCCCCCCGAGGAGGCGGCAGCGGCGGCGGCGGCGGAGGGCGCGGGGGACCACGAGGCGCGGCCGTCGGAGGGCGGCGCGGCGCAGCCCGGGCTGAGGCCGCGGTACCGCGCGGCCGTGGGGCGCGCCCAGGAGTGGCCCGCGAAGAAGAAGCACCGTCGTCGGCCGTCGAAGAACAAACGGCGCTGGAAGCCCTACTCGAAGCTGAGCTGGGAGGAGAAGCAGCAGTTCGACGAGCGGCAGAGTCTGCGCGCCTCGCGGCTCCGCGCGGAGATGTTCGCCAAGGGGCAGCCCGTGGCCCCCTACAACACCACGCAGTTCCTGATGGAGGACCACGACCAGGAGGAGCCCGACCTGAAAACCGGGCTGTACCCGCGGCGCTCCGCCGCCAAATCGGACGATACGAGCGAGGAGGACTTCCTGGAGGAGGCGGCCGAGGAGGACGGCGGCAGCGATGGGATGGGGGGGGACGGCAGCGAGTTCCTGCAGAGGGACTTCTCGGAGACGTACGAGCGGTACCACGTGGAGAGCCTGCAGAACATGAGCAAGCAGGAGCTGGTGAAGGAGTACCTGGAGCTGGAGAAGTGCCTCTCCCGCATGGAGGACGAGAACAACCGCCTGAGGATGGAGAGCAAGAAGCACGGCGAGGCGGTGGAGGCGGCACGGCTGCTGGAGCTGGAGGTGGACCGACTGCGGGCGGAGAACCTGCAGCTGCTGCGGGAGAGGGACGTGAGAGCGGCGGAGGCGGCTCCGGAGTGAGCGACCCTCGGAGCGGAGCTGCGGGACGCGGCGCTCAGCCCTCCCCCTTTGGGGGCGGGTGGGGAGGGGTCGCTGTCAAAGTGAACTCATGATGATGCTCTTTTTTTTCCCTCCTCCTCCTCGTGTGTGTGTGTGTTTAAACCAAAAAGGAAAAAAAAAAAAAGAAAAAAGAAAAAAAAGTGTAAATTGGCCAAAACTGACTATAAAAAAATTATAGAGGTCTAATAAATTTAATTACTTGTAACTGTAACAGTTTCGGTGTGATTTCTGGGGAATATTCAAAGTGTTCTCTCACGAGGGAATGCAGTTTGAGTTGTTTTCGGCGCATTTCGGACACGGAGAAACGGAGCTCCTCACGGAGCTCAGCACCGCTCCGCGCGCACTGAGGCTCCTCTGGCGCTGCTGTGCTCGGTGGGCTCCGGGCCGACAGAGGGGGGCACCGCGCCGCGCTGTGTACGACGGGCACAGCTGACACCTTTCTAACGCTTCTTCGCTCACCTAAAGGCTCGGTTCGTTCTCCTGTCTCCTCCTCCTCGGGGGTGAGGTCGCAGCAGAGCCCCCCAGAAACGCTCTCAGTGCCATAAGTGGGGCTTTGAAAGTTCTCTTCCAGCAAAGAGAGAAGTTGTGGTGTCAGCAGTGCTGGGCAGCGGCCGAGGGGGGCGGGGGGCCGAGGGGGGCGGTCCCCAGCGCTGTACCTGGGGGGGTGGGGGGGGAAGAACGGGGAGCTGAGGGGGAGGGCGAAGGGTGAAGCAGCGCTGGGGCTGAGCGGCTGTTGCGTAACCGAGGGCAGGATGGGCGCTATGGAACGCATCTCGCAGAGGAGGCAGCCCGCTCGGTACCTACGGGGGCAGGTTTATTTCATAACGAACGTCAGCTCCGGGGAAGGGGAAGATGGCGTGGGGCTGCCGTGGGGCTCCAGGAAGGTTTTAGCACAAGCTTGGCCAAAAAATCCGCTCAGGGCAAACGCCGCCACCAGCTGTGGGAAGGACAGCGGGGTGCCGAGGTGCTGCCCGGGAGCCTCGCAGTCTCCTTTCCCCTTCCCTCTGCCATGACAGCGCCGGGCAGCGGCAGCGCTGGGGTGGCTGCAGGGGCTCTGCCGCCGCTCCGTGTGTTGGAGCAGGCTGGGTTAATTGGGCTCTCACTCGTTAGGAGCGGGCTGGGTTAATTGGGATCTCACTCGTTAGGAGCCATTGCTCAGGGAGAGAAGCAGCAGCCCGCTGAGGCCTCCTGTTCCACCTGGAGCCCCGCAGCGCTGCACGGGGCCTCGGCTCCTCCCGGACAGCTGCGTGTCCGACTCTGGCAGCAGGGAGCCCCGGTGAGCCGGGCAGCACGGGCAGCCTTTGGCACCTGGAGGGGGACAAACCCACACGAGGGCATCGTCAGCGAAATGTAGCAGCGCGGGTGCTACTAAGTGAAGCCGTGACCGGTTCGTGCAGGCCATCCTGCACCCCCTGACCCCAAACCGGTTACATTGAATTCATAAGAGCGGCCCTTTGTTCGGAGTTACCTGCAAACACTTCAACGACGGCTCTTACAGACACAGGAACGCAGGAACCTCTCCCCCCTGCTCAGAGCGCCGCTGCTCCCTCCATAACCATCGACTCCCCGACCCTGCTTTGATTCTACCAACTTTATGCCACATTCTGCTTAATGAAGGAGTCTTAATACACACTAATTGCTCCTAATCCCCACCGCAGGTGTTCCGGAGCGGTGCGTCGCCCCGCAGGGTCAGACCCCACCTCCTGCGCTCACACTTAGCGGCAGCGCAGCCTTTCAGCGCCCGCTGAAGCGCCTCGTCCCCCGGGGGAGCCGGGACACCCCGCTCTGCTTCCAGCCGCTTTCCAGGCAGGAAGCGTTGCAGCGGCAGCCCGGCTCCCCGAAAACGCTGCCGCAAAAAGGGAAGCCGTCCATTGTAACAGCACGCCAACACCGCAACAGCCAACGGCCGCGCTAAGCGAAACCCGGCTCCCCCCGCAGCGCCGCCGAGGGGACGGCACGGCACGGCGCGGCTCCCGCAGGCCGGCAGCTTTGGGACGGCTTCGCGGCCGCTCCGTGGCTCCTCGCAAGGGCCCGGCTTTGGCATCGCTGCTGCTCGCTGTGTACAGCGCCAGCCCTAAGGCTCAACTCGCTCCAGTGCCGCCTATTCACTACCTTTAAGACACAGCACTCACACGCTGCTCTGGCCATCCCAACGACACTGCAATGTAAGCAGGACTCCTTTTTAAAGCAGGCTCTCTGGCGCTGCTAACCCCGCACCGCGTTCCCATCCGGCTGCACCACGGCATCGGGATCTGCCCCTCTGTGGCTTCTTTCCATCCCCCTTCACACCCTTGTGAAAAAAAAGCACCAAAAGCCCCCAGCTCTAACAACCAGACAGGCGCAGGGCACACAGGTTCAACAACACGACCCGTTCAGCTCTAAGACACGCAGAGCACCACGCCGTCTTTAGGCATGGAAGGCCATTAAGGTCCTTGGGGACCTCCACCCCCATCCCACCCTGCCTGCTATGAGGCCACATCCCCACGGTTCCAAACACCCCCCGGGCAGCTGTGCCACTGCCCCACCACCCATTCTGCGAAGAAATATTTCCTAATATCCAACCTGCTCCTCCCCTGGTGCAACATAAGCCCATCCCTCTCATCCTATTGCTGCTACCTGGAGCAGAGGCCGACCCCCCCCCCCCCCCCCCCCACCTCCTTCCAGGGTGCTGTAGAGAGCAATGAGGTCTCCCTGAGCTCCTCTCCTCCGCACTGATCCATCCCTGCTCCCTCAGCTGCTCCCCTCTGTGCTCACAGCCCTCACAGCTCCATGCCCTTCTCTGCACTCACTCCAGGGCCTCAGCGTCTTCCTTGTTGTGAGGGCTAAACACAGCACTGAGGTACATGGAAATAAAGCTCCCAGCCCGGCCATGCAGCAGTGTATGAAGTGCAAGGCTCCAGCACGCAGGAACTAACAGAGCAACGTGGACATTTGTCGGCAAACCTGTTTCAACAGAGCATTTTCTTAAAAAAGAGAACAAAACCAACCCTCCAGTTGTATAAATGGAAAAGAATTCGGCTTGTGACTGGCAGGTCCCATGTTTGACAGCAGGACCTACACTCAGAAACCCCAAATGGTGCCGTTTTACACCTGAACCAAGTCCAAGCGCTGTTATTTCCCCAGCCTTCATTTCCACTGCACTGAGTGACGCCTGCAGCCCCAGGCTGGGGCTCTGTGGTGCACGATGGACCCCAGGGCTGCTGTGTGGGGCTCTGGGGGTGACGTGTGGGTCCACATTGGCTGTGGGGAGCCCTGCAGCACTTCAGGGTCCCGTGAGCCCGAGTGATACCGAGGGTAATGTTCTCGGGGGGCCATTTTTCAGCTGCCATGCATTAAAGGCGCATTGTGTCACCATGTGGCTTTTCCATGTTTCTAAACCAAAGCGTCTCTTTCACTACAAAAATGCGCCGTTTCCCCCTACGCTGCGCCCACCGGGGTCACTCAGACACCGCTGATCCCCAGCACAGCCCGAGCTCACAGCTTTCCTACCACAATGTCTGCTACCCCTCTCATCCCCCAAGTGAGGCCCAGGTCCGGCCCCCTCGGCCCCGTTTCCCTCAGCGACGGCCCCCCCCCGGAGCTGCGGCCTTCCCGGGGCCCTCCCCGCCCCACAGCCCCGCACTCCTGAGGGGAACGGCCGCACCGCGCGGGCCTCCGCCGCTCTCCTCAGGACTCAACACCGGAGGGAGCCGCTCCCCCGTGCTCCCGGCTCGGCCCAGAGTCCCCTCGAAGTCCCCGGCCGCTCACCGGCCCCGCGGCGGCGGGCAGCGAGGCCTGGCGTAAGCCCCCACACACACAAAATGGCGGCCGAGCCCCCACACCGCCCGCTCGTCCGCCATAGCCACCGCCTCGTCCCGCTCGCCTTCCAACCAATCAGACGCTGCCGTACTGCTGCCGGGCATCGCGGCGGAGCCAATGGGAGGGAGAGATGTAGAGGAAGGGGAGAGGTGCGCTTCCGCCGTGAGGGTTTATGGGAGTTGTAGTCCTACGCCGCGGGCGGGCGGGGTGAGGGGGGTGTAGCGCTGCGGACTTGTTGTCCCATGATGCCGTGAGGCCCACTCATGGGACTCTGCGCCTGCGCGCTTCGCGTTGCCATGGCGACGGGCGCTGGGCCTGCGGCCTGCTCCGGCCTACCGCCCGGTGGGAGCCCCGCGCTGTGCCTGTCTTCAGCTCCGTTCGGGAGATCCACCCACGTACCGAAACACAGACAAAAAATAGGGTTACAGACGGGGCAGGGACTGAGCGCACGGCTGTGAGGAGCACTGAGACTCTGTGCTGTGTTGGGCCCAGAGAAGAGGAGGCTGAGGGAAGGCCTCATGGCGGCCACAGCTCCTCTCAGTGCACATTAAACCCCATGGGCTCCCATCGCCGTATCTTCTTCCCTCACCGTTGTGGTTCCTAGATCCCCGTTGCTAATTTTAAGTTCCCAATTTCCATCTCTGGTTTCCAGTTCCATCGAGCAACTCCCATTTCTGAGCTCTGTGACTGAGGTCACAGTTCCAAGCTCCCTGTTCAGTTTCCATTTCCCTGTTCCCTGCTCCAAGAACTCCCAGTTTCCAGCTCCCAAATCACACTTGCTTCTAACAGTTCCCACTTCCCAACCATTTTACCTCCTCTTTCAAAGCCCTCTGCTTCCCATTCCCAGTTCCCTTTCACCACTTCCCATTTCCCAGCCACCAGTTCACAACTCCCAGCACCACATTCCCAGTTCTCAACACAGTAATTGCATTCCCTACTTCCCACCTCAGTGTTCTCTGTTCTGAGCTCCCAATTCTAAATCCCTAGATCCCAGTTGCCACTTCCCAGTTACCAATTCTTCCCAATCCCTTGCTCCCAGTTTCCAGTTCCCACCCCACAGTACCCAGAACCAATCCTTTGCTCCAGTTCTCACTTCTCAGATCCCAGTTCCTAGCTCCCAGTTATGACTTTTTTCCAGTTCCCAGATCCTGCTTGATGTCCCCAGACAATGTATTCTTGTTGTGTCCCCATGTCTCTGGGTGCTTCCCGTGCCACTCATGTCCACTTTGCATCCCAGGTCCTCTGAATTCCCCCAATATCTCCCTACATCATCTCATGTCCCACGTGCACTCCATGTCCCCCCGCATGTCCCAGGGTCACCCACCTGTCCCTGGGTCCTCCCAGATCCCTGTGGC